AAAAAAATCAAACAAAAAACAACAATCAAAACGATCGAAAAAAATCCGAAAATGACCGGAAATCGGAAAATATTATGGAAGGAAGAAGTACGATTTTTTTTTATTTTACACGAAAATATTTTTTTGAATTTATTTTTTTTTTAGTACACGGCCGCGCCGCGATTGCGGGCCGAGAAGGAAGCTGGCGCGGCGCGATTGCGGCCGCAGTCGGCGCAATCGCGCGCGGTCGCGATTGCTTTTTTTTTTATATAAATTTTAAAAAATAATATAAATTTTATATAAATTTTCTATATAATATATTTTAAAAAGTAAATAATAAAAATATTTTTATTTTTTATTTAATTTAAAATATATAATATATAAAAAAAATATAATTTAATTTTTTCGTATTTAATAAAACTAATAAAATATATATTTTTTTTGTTGTAAAAACCGAAATAAATATAAAATAATATATATTTTATATAATTTTTCTATATGATATATTTTAATTTAAAATTTGGATATTTGGAGCGGGCGTGGCGCGATTGCGGTCGCACTTGGCGCAAGCGCGCGTGGTTGCACTGGGTGTGGCCGCGGTCGCGGTGCGGTCGACCTTGTTTGGGGTGCAATCGCGGCGCGGCCGCGACCCTTTTTTTTTCTAAAAACGAAAATAAATAATAAATGTTATATAAATTTTAAAAAATCATATAAAATTTATATAAATTTTCTATACAATATATTTTAAAACTAAATAATAAAAATATTTATATTTTTTAGTTAATTAAAAATATATAGTATATATATAAAAATATAATTTAATTTTTCTTATTTAAAATATATATATATTTATTGTTGTAAAAACGAAAATAAATATAAATTTTATGTAAATTTTATAAAATAATATATATTTTATATAAATTTTCTATATAATATATTTTAAAAATAAATAATTAAAATATTTAAATTTTTGTGTATTTAATTTTTGTAAACAATATATATTTTTTTTGTAGAAACAAAAAAATAATATAAAAATATATATTTTAAATAATTAAATATATATTTAAAATATTTTTTATTTTAAATAATTAAATATATATTAAAATATAATGAATATATTTAAAATATATATATTTATTTAAGAAAATGGAAAAATATTAATAAATAATATATATATATATTATATTAATAATTAAAAAATATTAAGAAATATATATATAAATATTATGTATATATTAATTATAAAAATATATTAATAATTTAAATTAATTTAGACTAATAAATTAAGTTGTCTACTTTAAATTTTTAAGATAAATTAATTAAAAAAAAAATTGTTTACTAAATATTCGTTTAAAATTTTAAATTTAGGCTGATGAGTATCTTGCCGACTTTGTTGGGTCTAGACCCCGACGCACGAGAGCTCGGAATGTGAATGCTTCCGCTCGGTTGGAGAGGCAGCGGATGCTCCTTCATGCTAGTACGGTACAGACTCCTCAGGCTGATAGTTCGAGATATCTCGCTACTCCGATACAGACTGGTCAGCAGTCGGGCATACTCACGCTTGGCAGTTTGGGACGCACCACTCCGATACATAGTGGTCAGCAGTCTGGCCCACTCATGCCTAGCAGTTCGGGATGCCCCACTCCGATACATAGTGGTCAGCAGTCTGGCCCACTCATGCCTAGCAGTTCGGGATGCCCCACTCTGATACATAGTGGGCAGCAGTCTGACCCACTTATGCCTGCCAGTTCGGGACATCCCGCTCCGATACAGATTGGTCATCAGTCTGCCCCACTAATGCCTGGCAGTTTGGGACACCCCACTCAGATGCAGAGTGGTCAGCAGTCTGGCCCCGTCATGGCTAGCAGTTCTGGACGTTATCCGATTATACGTATTGTTCAGAGGCGGGACTCCACTTATGAGTCGACAGTCAGGAGTCCGCAGGATGATGATGATGATGATGATGATGATGATGATGGCGATGATGTTGACGATGATGATGATGATGATGATGATGATGATGACGATGACGAGGAGCAGGCCTATGATGATGACGAGCAGGCCTATGAGTTGGACTTTGATGCAGCTGAGCAGCCGCAGCAGCAGTCGCAACTACAGCTACAGCCACAGCCCCGACCACAGCCACAACCTCAACCCCGACCACGGCCACAACCTCAACCCCGACCACAGCCACAGCCTCAACCCCGACCACAACCACAGGCACGTCCACAACAGGCTGGGGGTCGTTATATGGGCGCATCCTCATCCTCAGGTAAATGATTTACGTATTTATTGTTTTTTACAATCGCTAAATAAGATAAAAAAAAGTATAATATTAATGTTTATGTAATTTTCATATATCATTTAAACTATTGTTATTAGTTTTAATAATAAAAGTGAAAATTATTATTTTGTTAATAATAATAATAATAATAATAATAAAGATAATAATAATAAAGATAATACTAATAATAATAATAATATATATATATATATATTATTTAATATTTAATAATAGTTGTTCTAATCTAATACATAGGCGAGCAGCAAACGCACTAAGTGCGACGACTGGCTTGTTAAAGCCCCAGTACCTGGTGGCCCAATCGACGGGAGTGTTATCCCTAGTTTTCTAGGGCACGTGGCCTCCCGGATTTGGACTGGACATGACAGAGGCATGTTGAAGTGCCAAAACAGGATGTTGGCGAACGAGATGTTGATGGAGTGGCTCGCAACGATGGATGACAGTGCGCGAGATCTGATCCGTCCGACCGGGCTGTTACATTGGCGTCCAGCATGCACGAGCACATCGACACTCCACTTATTTCAGCATTTGTGGATCGATGGCAGCCGGATACTAACTCGTTTCACCTGTCTTTTGGTGAAATGAGTATCCTGCTCCACGACGTTAGGGCCATACTGGAGGTTCCTATCGTCGGATTGGTTGTCACAAGGGACCTCGACAGCATGACACAGCGTGCGTACTGCATGGCGCTGCTGGGTGTGACCCAGGACATATTGATGGCGAGCTTTTGGAGTCATGGCTCGGTGTCGAATGACGTTGTTTTTACTGCGTTGCAGAAGAGTGGCGAAGGACGGTCGGCTGTGCATGTGGCGACTGGCTGGATGTGGGTGCTGCTCGGTACCACCTTGTTTATGAACAAGAGTGGTAACAGGGTCAGTCCTAAGATCCTGCACGAGATGATGCAGAACCTACAGACAGTTGGGGATTACTCGTGGGGATCGGCCGCACTGGCATACCTATTCAGACAGTTAGGTATGGCCAACAGGGGTGACTCGGGGGGAGTGGCGGGCTGCTTGAAAAAAAGGTATGGTTAATTGTTAGTGGATATATTAAAATAATATTTAAAATAAAATAATTAAAGCTTGATTTGATGTAAAGTAGGGAGAGAAGATTTGATTTGATAGTTAGTTAAAATTATGTGAGTGGATGAATAGTGAATTAAGGTGATGTGGTATGTAAGAATGATTGATTGATATTATTTAATTATATTGATAATATTGATGATAGTAGTGTTGAGTTAAAGTTGAGTTAAAAAAGTGGTTGAGTTAAAAAATATTTAAATTTTTTTGAGAAATTTTGTATCCAAACATGCTCTAAGCGCCTCAAGGATTTTCGTTCGCGGCTTGACAGACTCACAACCACCGAGGTACATTAAGTTATTTTATTTACATTTACTTGAAAGTTATTTAGAATATTCAAATTATTCGAACAAATGTTTTATGCAATTGTGAACAGGTAAACTGGCTGCCATACGGCCTCGAGCCACATGTGTTGGAGCCTAGGACCCTTTATTCCGGATGCCTTAGGTACCGAAATATCGTGGAGCCGTACATGCCTATGCGTTTCTTGCGGCAGTTGGGCTACCACCAGATCATCCCTCTCAACATGTATCTGCCGAACACTGCATATCGTGGTTAGAAGTCTAGGATGTACAGAGTCGAGCATGGAGCTACTACTGCAGTAGATCACTGGGACCATTTCCCGCTGCTGCATTCT